CAATGAAGGAAAGTTTAAATAAAATGATGTGAAACATGAATGGTGGAGGGGATTACGGTGATCTAGGAGCACCTGAATATGTCTATTTATTACGAGTGTGAACTTGCAAAGCACGCACACCCAACGACCTCAAAGGCGAGTGTAGCCCCCACACGCATACATTGTCACAAGTCACAAACCGCTGTTCGGATTGAGTTCGATTTAAATTATTTTTCAAATCCGAAATTACCGTGAGATTCTTACGTTTGAGTTACTCGTGGTAATGAGAAATGAGATTTGAGTTCGGTGATGTCTTTAATTAATTTTCTTTTCTTTTCTTTATTTTTTAAAAAAAATTCTTGGGTTTATGGGCAGCTGCCTTCTAGACGAAATCGCTAAAAGACATTGAATGGTGTATTTTTAAATTTTTGGGTTGAATTCAAACTTCCTCTCTTTAAAATGTTGTACGTTGTTTAATAAAATATTCTTGGGTTTATTGCGATTTGTGGAAAGTTCATTCGGCGTCCGGTTGCCGCATCATAACTTAGAGAGGATGGGACCCGAATTTCTTATAAGGTGATTGATTCTGAGCCATTGATTAGCCTGAGCCCAGGTAGACAATAATAGCGGTGTGTGACCTCCGTCATTAGCTAGCCACATGTAGGGGTTGAGAATTGTTAGGGTGGGCATCGGTCAATTTTGTGATTGAACCGACTAACATGGACGGTTAACAACTTTTTAGTTGAGGAAAAATAAAAACCCATCACTAAACTAAAAAGTATTGATTATTTTAATTTGATTAAATTTTTTGTAGTTTTGGTTTGCATCGATTAGTTTTAAATTTTTTTAACCTTTAAAGAAAATTGATCTAGTAAAAAATTCTCATTTTAAAAAATAATAGGCTAAAAAAAATGGTGAATTTCGATTTTTTTTTTTGGGGGTCATTAAAGGCCTCTTATTGATTTTCAATTTTCTACCTTGCAAATCAAAAACCAACTAAATGCTTTTTGACTTTTAAACCAAACTGCCTAAAAAAACCTAAATTTAAAAATTTAGTAAAAATTCAGCCTGCTATCAATCGGTTTCTTAGTTCTCGGTCGGTTGACCGAACTTTGCCCAGCCATAGTTGCTATGCAATGGTCAGTCCTCCATCCTATCATTTTTGGTAATTTCTTTAAATAAAATAAAATAAAAAATAAACCTTATCCTGTCACTATAGTACGTAGGTACATGAGTCAAGCATTAAATTAAAACGGACTAATTTACCAAAAAAAAAATTAAAACAGACTTTAATATTAAAAAAACTTATTTTTATTTAATAATTTAATATAATTTTAATTTTATAATATTTTTGATATAAAATATTTGATTTTCATTAAATGAAACAAGTATGAATATCTGCACTTTGATATTCGCGTTAAAAGGTATCAGACCACGTATAAATACAATTTTTTACTCTTAAGATAACGATTTGAATCCGATCCCTTACAAATTTGTTCAAAAAAAAAAATATGAATATCTAATATGATTAAGATTGGAATTCCAACTGTGTGTTTTGTATAAATTGTATTGACAACCGAATCTTAGTTTATGGATAGGTGAAGAAGGGGTCTTAGTAGAATCTAGACAGACTTATCAAGTTATCATCTTCTTTTTTTCTTTTTTTTTTTCTGTGAAAACATCCTCAGATTTCATCAGGCTTTTTAAGTTTTAAATGTTAGTATATAGTGTAGTACTAAATTATAATTTGCAAAAAAAAAAAAAAGTCACGTTTTCGGGAGAAAAGTTTGAAGAAAGTGAGAAAATAAAATATGAGTTTATCTAATCATGAGCCTTAAGTGAGAAAATAAAAATATAAGTAAAGGAATGCTGTAATTATATATTTTTTCATTAATTTATATGAAAAAATATGAAAAATAATTTTATTTTCAACACTAATAATATAGGTATAATTTTGATTAGCGATTCTGTGTCAAAAAAAAAAAATTTTTACAACACATTATCTAAAAATATATGTTTATTATTCCTAATTAATGTTAATTAATGTTTAGTGTAATATACTTTTAGTAATTATAGCTAATATTTTGTATATTTTTAGTATAGTAAAAGATAAGAATCTATAAGCACAACAAATAGTGGAACATTTTCCAGCAAAGTCTAAACTTAGAAAACGAATGTAATACACATACTACACGTAGGACTATAAATGAGTTAAGCTAAGTAGAGTATTAGAACGCTTAAACTTGAGTTTGATTTCAAAATAACAAGTTAGAGCTGTGAGTTTGACTTTCACGATAACAAGCTAGAGCTTTGTCTAACTCAAAAAAGTAGAGCTTGAGTTCGACTTGTTTACCAAACAAGCTAAACTCGGATCAAGTAACTTGTAAGCTATCAATTTACTCATAATTTAAAACAATTAAATTAAATCAAATAATATAATTTTTAATTTTTTTTAAATATAATTGAGTTACTTGTGAGTACTTCATGATCCCAACACCTAGGCTAATACGCAAAGCTCAATTATTTATTAATCTTGTAGTTGGGCTCAACCTTTGTGCATTTAGCTAATGAGTTGAAATCAAACCAAATTTAAATCAAGCACCTCATGAGATTGTTAGTTCATTTATAATCCTTGTATACTCAAACTAAACAAGGATAATGTGCAAATAGAAAAGTAAAAATAAGAATGTTCTAATACTTTAAATATCAAAATTTATTGTAAAATTATTCAAATATTTTTAATAAAATTTTTGTGTGTATTTACTTATTAATGATATTTTAATATTTTCATTATCATTTCTAACATATTAATTACTTTAAAAAATCTTTTTTTTTCTCATTTCATTGTACAAATAAGAATTTAAACTTTCAAAATTCACTAATTAAAGATATGCATCTCTTTTTTTCTCCCATTAATAAAGGGGCACAACTTTTGAAATATTTTATAGAAATACTAAAAATGATAGAAATTTTGGTTAGATTAGAAGTTTAGAACCAAGGGAAATGGAAAGGCACCTAGACGACAATACCCATAAGTTTAACCGACCGTTGTTTTGAACTTTCTGAGCTCGTCCATTTCAAGCCATTTATCAATTACCTGTCATAAAAGCAAGACAAAAACTTACTTTTTAGTCATTTATCTTAATAAAACTATAAGTTTTAATTTTTTACGTTATATTATAATATTTTTAATTTTTTATTTATGAAAATAGAAGAAAATAACCATTATTTAATGTTTCGTTAGGTAGTTGTTAGTTTTATTAACTGATTGTTAACATTTTGTTATAAAAAATATAAAATTTTAATTCAATTTTATTTGTTAGTTTCGTTAACAAAATGCTAACAGTTAGCTAATAAAATTAACAATTAGCTAACAGAATTAATAGTCAACTAATAGAATTAATAATCACTTAATAAAATTAACAATTAACTAATAAAACTAACAAAACATTATAACATGATATTAAATAAAGATTACTTTTTCTTTAATTTATATAAGTAGAGAGTTAAAAATATCATATTATAAGATGAGATACTAAAACTTACAAATTTATTAAGATAAATTGTTAAAATGAGGTATTTGCCTGCAACCAAACGCCACCTTAAATCTAACGGCCGCACCATAAAATTCCCCCGGTGACATCCATAATCTTAATTTTAAGAGTGTATTAAATATATTTTTTTTGTAATTAATTTATATTAAAAATTATAAAAATTGACATATATTTTTATTATTAATACATAAATAATTTTAATTGATTAATTAATTAATTCAAAGTCAAGATTTATATTTTTAATAAAAAATAATTATGAAAATGTATATTTATTGTATTATTATCTTAAACTTTAAAAATACAAGATAAAAGTCCCGCACATGGTGACCTATTGGCCACCCTTGAGGACGTGCGTAGGACTAATGAGACCTGGGATCAGGTCCCTTTCTTTTCCCCGGAAAAAAAACATAAGTTTCCCACTGTTCAAAAAAAAAATACAAGATAAAAAATTATATTATTTTTTATATAAATTTTATATGTTATTAAATTAATAAATGTGTTTAATATTATATATTTTAAATGAATAAAAAAATAATTATTTAAATAATATATAGAATAATGTTAAAAATTATTTCTAAATTAATTTTCTTTTAATATAGACAGCTCAGAAGGGAAAAGGTTCATTTTCATTAAAGAAAAAGTCTTTTTCGATTAAAAATATCTTTCAAAAGAAAATGCGCGGAGCATTAATTAATTGCTCCACTATCCCAATGCGTGTGTGTACCGACACAATTAGAAATTATTATGATTTTTCAAATTCATGTTTTTTAGAGTTTACGCTAAGATTTTTAAATAAAAAATTAATATTTAATTTATTAATTATTTAATTAAATTTATTTATATAATAATATTAAAATCAATATTAATTTTTACACTTTTTATATTATGAATTTATAATTAAAAAAGAAAACCAACTATTAAAGATAAGTGAACCTGTCCAAAGCAATTGGGCCAAGAAATCTCTCTCCCACCCTCTCTAGTTAGTCAGGGGCCATGAAATTTTGAGACGGGAAGATTTTTTTTTTTTTTTAACCGTGTACAATTTGAAGAAAGAAAAAAAAAAGATTTTTAAAGTTTTCATAGTTTTAAAATCCCAACCAACAAACTTAAATGTTTAAAGGTTTGGTGCGGATCACTAAAATCTAAAAATTAAATTCGAGATAGGAAAATGTTTAATCAACACATTATTAAAGTGCTTTTGTTTTCTTTTCTTTTTTTTTTTTAATTTATTGATAATATGAAGATTTATGAATAAATTTCCATGCATCTTAAGATTAAATTAATAATTTTTAATGATATTGAAGACATCCCTATATTTGTTTAATTAGTAAATTTAAAAATTGTAAAGTTTATAAACTATGCACTTGCAATACGACCGTTGTTTAAACAAATGGATCTAATCATTGAACTTATTTTAGATGCGTTGACGTATTCCATTCTTTTAGTTTGAACATATAGCCATGTTAGGATAGGAAAGCAATAATAAAAGATGGCATGGAAAGGAAATGGCCAAATCATCCTCGCCATTATCAATTTGGCTCATGATGAACTAAAGAAGATGCCCTGTGCCCTTGATCAGGGGCTGCACAACCGCCCTCCGGCTCACACCGAATTACTCCCAGAAACAGAAGCAGAGAATCATTATCTCGATCGACATTCACACCTTCCCGGCGCCCACCGGGACAGCGACGCCCACCCACCCGGAATCAAAACTAGATTCAAAATTCCAAGGCCAAAACTTCAATTCAAACCAACAACTGACTACGGATCTTGTCCACATGAGTTTTAGTTTCACAGAAAGTGCATGGTTAATTAAAAAGGAGACCAAATGGATGCCTTTAATTTAATGTAGGCAGGAAAGGATATAGATAAGGTCCAGGGGAGGGAATATGTGGTAGAGGCCAGTTGCTTATGTTGGCTTTTCTTTCCACAATAATGGGTCTCGTGACATTGACGATTGACATATTCTGAGTCAATAGGGAAATTTGGCAATTGGTATGGAATGGGCTAGAATTTGTCTGCTTAGGGGAAGGTGGCTTCTGTTTCTTGGATAAATAAAAGCAGAGGATAAGAGCTGGGGAAGGGGAGTTCCAAACTGGGAGGAGATTTGTTTATACTGTTCACCTAACTCGTAATCTAAGGAGGTCACACTTGAGTTTTGCGTTTTGTTTTTTGAAAGGCACACTTGAGTTTTGTTTATCAGTGTTGTAGTAAAAGATTCTTTTACATTTCATTGTCATAAAAGTCTTTAAAATATTAATTAAAATTAATAACAATATATAATAATTAATTAAAATTAATATATTCATATTTTTAAATAAAGTATTTTGTGAAAAAAATTTGTTTGAAAATTATTAAATGAAGCTTTACCCATTTATTTTTATTAGTACTATAAATTCTATTGATATGCTTGACTTAGGTGGTATTATATTCTATCAGATCGACTTAATATATTCAATTAAATTGATTTTTTAAACGTTAAACTTAAAACTTAAATTTTAAATTTAATATTTAATAATACTTATTTATTAGTAAATCTAACCCTTAAATTTAATACTATATTGTATTAAAGTTTCTATATTGTATTAAAGTTTCTATATTGAATAAAAGGTTGTTTAATATAATCAATGAATCGCTCTTGCTTATAAAAAAATTGTTTTTATTTTGGGAGTTATTTTAACTGAAGTCCGCCTATTAGGATAAGATAGTCAGACCAAGCTCTTCAAATCAAGTACTAATTAATTTTGAGCGGAGACTAATTAATTAGTAGGAGCGAAGACTTCCCTTTTCTTTTTCTCTTTTGAGGAGTGCTAGGGGCACTCGCCTTCTGCACTCTCCGGCCAACACTTTCACTTTTATTGAGCCACGTTATTCTGGTCGGGAAGGAGTTGCACCTCAAAGCTCAACAAGCTTACGTGGCCCAATGAAAAGGGAAGTGTCGACCGGAGAGTGCAAGAGGCGAGTGCCCCTAGCACTGCTCTTTCTCTTTTTCCTCTTGGAGTGAGTCAGTATGGACACATGGATATGAGTGATTTAAAACGAGACAATTTATTTATAGATTTTTTTTAATTTATATTTTAATGTATATGTTAAAAGTTTATTAAATATATATTTTTTATTATAATATATATATAAAATATATATATTTCAGTTTTTCTCTCCTCATTTA